CATATTTGGATGCTCGCCTTTCCCTTTACCATAAGTTTCTGAATCTACAAAGTAGAACAAAACAGAGTCATGTTAAGTCAATAATAAAAGACGCTATATGCACCCAAGTAATACTAACCTTCAGCTTCTAAGAGTATATCAGCATCTTTTGGATCCCTTGATCGATCCGAATCATGATTCCCAACAGAGATGTGATGAACTGTAGAACTAAAATCATTCTTTTTGAAAACTACTACTTTTGGACCTTTCAGTCCTTTGGCAGTTTCCTAAATAACAAATCAACAAAGAATGAAATGCATACTGTCAAAACCATTTCAAGGAAAAAAAAATGTTCAAAGCAAACTGCAGTAGATTCATAAATCTCAAAGCTACCTGTTCAATTGCATTAAGTCTTATATCATCTGCCATATACTTCTGTATCAAACAAAGCAAATGAACTAATTAGAAATAGACCAAAAAATGAAGGGGAAAAAAAGTATACAATAGATCCAAGCAAGAGAGATTCGTACAATACTGGCTAAATCCCCCACAAAATCATTCCCCCCTGCCGTGATAGAATCATAAATGCAAAAACAATAACAGTCAACATCCGGACAGTTAAATTAAATAAAAATACAAAAGGGCAAACACAAAAATTATCAAAATTTCTTTTTAACATAAAAAAGAAGAAATCTAAAATCAATTTAACAGGAAAAAAAAAAAGAGGAAATCTAAAATTTCTGAATCAAAATTATCAAGTACTTTTCATTAATCTAAAATCAATGGATTCGAAGAGGATTACCAGTAAAAGCTATGGCTTTAAGTCTCTGTGAAACCAATTCGAATTGAGCGAATACAAAGAAAGAGAGAAAAAATAGGATTAGAATCCTCTGCCAATGACGACACTTCTTCATGAATGGATAAAACCTGCTAAAAGAAATTCTCTGGAACTCTCAAACAGAAAGTAAAATATGACAATCGCTTATTGAGTGTTTTGCTCTCCTATTCGTTCTCCAATAACAAACAAATTTCAAAGGTTCAAATCGACATCGATTCAATGCCTAAAAAAACCTAGGGTTTCTAGTTGTGATCTTCCTGCTGTTTCCAAAGGGGGAAAAGAGTATTTAAGATGTTCGTTAAAGTTTTGCGTGCGGCTGAAGTAGATGGATCTTTCCTTTTCTATTATCTTCGTTTCCAGCTTATTATTATTATTATTTTCTATTTGATCTGGAATTTAACGTTTTTCTGATCTGGAATTCTGGATTTATATATGAAATCTAGGGGTCCGAACTTTCGCTGAAAGGATTTGAATCGCGAATACATACGAGCGTGATGTACGGTGGTGCCGCTGTCATTTATTGATCATAAAAGTGAGGCTTATTGACCGTTGATATTAGTCAAATATATTAGTATTATGAGAGACGATGGATTTACACTTTTCCTTGTAGCTGTAGCTTTAAGTCAACTTATTGCTCAGATTTTGTAGGCTCTTTGTCCCTGTTACCGGATAACTGTTTCAAGCTTTCAATGTGGTCAATCTCCGGCTGCTTGTATACAGCTATGTAAGGGTAAATACACATTTTCATACTTAAATTTGATTCAAATTTCAATTTGGTACCTATCATTTTGTGTGTTCAATTAGGTACATAAATTTGTTCTCAAGGTTTAATTCTATATCCAATTTTCTTATCCAGTTAAATACTTGAATTTAACTTTTAAGTTCGAATTGGCTCATCACTTTGATTTCATGATTCAAATAAATCATTTATCATAAATATCAATTTGAATCAAAAAGTAAAATTTATGTATAATTTAAAACAATAACTAAAATTTAAGTATCAATTTAAATAAAATATAAAATTCAAATAATTAATTAATAACACAAGGATGATTGAAAATCTAAAGTGGTTCAACTCATAATAAAAGAAAAAGAGTTATATATTATTCATCTACAACATCTCGAAATTAACAACTATTATAGATAAGATAATTTTTTTTATTATATATGTGTTATTCTAAAAAAATATATAATATAAATACGAACAACAGTTTTATTGGACAAATAATCAAAACGGAAAAAAATAGGAAATATAGGTTTTGAAAAATTAATTTGAAATCTAAGTTATTTGTTAAAGTATTTTTGGAACTCGTCATGCTCTCATAATAAGTTTCATAAAATATAATTAGTAATTAGGATTCATCATGTCCTCATAACGAATTCCATCTAATTTCCATCAAGCCCACAAGACGAGTTATAATTTTCTAATATATTTTATAAAACTCATCATGAAAACATGACAAGTTACACATGTACTGTATCAAATGACTTAAATCTCAAAATAAATTTTTAATACCTACATTTTTCAAAATTTTATTTTTAGTCCACAATATTTTCAAAATTCAAGCCACAAAGAAATGTTAGCGTCTGAATAAAAGACTAGTTGCGAATCCACGTTAGATTAAACAAGTTTATAGTCTTATGGATTAAAATTTAAATGAGATTGCAATTTATAGATAAAGTTTTTTTATAGGTAGAAAATGCAAATTCAAGTTGATAATGTTATCTTGAATTAGTGGTAGTATATGTTATGTGGTGAGTGGAACGAACCCAACAAGCAATCACGGGCGTGTTTCTGTGGAAAACCTCGGGGCCAACTTCTTAAAACCATCCCCCCCCCCCTTTACCATAGTGGAATCCACTTGTAACAATATCAAGTAATTTAGTTTGCTCATATATATCTGGGGACTAATTTGTATTACTTTAATTTTTTCTTCAAATTTTGCAATAAGATCTTCAATTCTTTTAAGAGAAAAAAATACAAACTAGTGAAACTAGACAGATTACTTAACAAACCATCCGCGCAGCGTAGGCTTCTACGTCGGATCATCACCATGCAAAACATCGGCAATCGCAGCAGGTTGGCCCATGATACGCACAAACGTCAAAAGGGGACTCCACACCAACTTGGTCATGCCATCACTCACCCTATTACATTCTTGAGACGCATGTTTGAACAACAATCTCCGATCACGATCAAGAAGAGCAACAATGTGGGTGACCATCGACGAAGCAACCCTTAAACCCGAACCTCTATTAAATACAATGAGTACCTTCTTACTATCCGTATCGATGATAACATCCTACATCTCCAAACCCCATGCAATACAATACAACAACAGTGGATTTTTGGAATGACGTTTGGTTGGGGGATTTGGATCCTCTACGAGATTTGTGATTTGCACGAGGGCTTTGTTGTTAGCCACGTAAAGATGAACACCATGCTGGATTTCAACGAGGATTGGAACTGGGGTTTGCTCCCCAAGTCCCTGCCCGCCTCGGTGCTGCTTTGTCTTACGGCTGTTAAGCCGCCTTTAGCCACTAGTGGCCCGGATGTGACGGTTTGGAGATGGAATAAGCATAGGCGACTTTCTACTAAAAGCGCCTATGTTCGACGGACAACTGAAATTGCTGTCGATGAACGACCGTAGTGGAGGTTGCTATCAAAATTTCGGGGTCTACCACTCGTAAAGACATTGCTCTGACTTATTTGTAAGGAAAGATATATCATTTTTGAAACTTATTATGAGTGAAAAAGTAAGTTCATAATCAAATTTAAAATAATAACAAGGGTTACTCAAAGTATATTTAAAAAAATTAAAAAAATAAACTCATCAAGTAGTCTTAGTAATTAAAGAATATTGTTCTCTGTAGAGATTTTTAGTTCGAGAAAGAGTTTGTGTGCATTATTAATAATGAAAAAATATTCTAAATAGATATTACCTTATATTAATCTCAGACTAATAAAAAATATTTTAAAAAATAACTAAGATACTTATCATCATTTTAGGATGTATCTAAAGGTTATAAATAATTAAAATGTAATTAATTAATTATAATTATACATGTTTAACATGTTTAATAATTATGTGTCCTATTAAATTAAATCCAATTAAGATATTTTAATTAGACTCGTCAATTCTTAAAATATAGATGAAAATAAAAAAAAGCGTATAATTAATCATAATAACTTTTAAAATTTATTATTTATTTTCCACTAAGATATGCATCAAAGAAATCAATTGGAAAATGATGAATCGTTTTCCACTAAGGTTGATTTTGGGTATTTTTAAATGATTATTTTATTTTTTTAATTTAATTTTTTATTCGGGTTGGTTTAACATTGAAATTGGATCAATAATTATTTTAATATTTGTTTAAAAAATTTATCGAATTTGACGTCTAAATTTTAGAGATTTACGCTAATCACAGCGACCATCGTAGAAGAAAGAATCATGTTCGAAAACAATATCTAGAGGAGTAGAAACATGGGATCTTACGAAGAAGGTAGTCCGAGGTTAGGCGGGGTATTTTATGAGAGAAAAGACAAAGACCGTTAAAGCACGCGCCAAATGTCGAAAAAGGAGGAAGGGTAAAGTACATAAATTGTCACTAAACTATGATAAATAATGTTTTGGTCACTACAGTTTTGGAAACTATAAAATGATCCTTAAACTTCTCAAACGACTATAAAATAATCATTAAACCTTTTCAAGATATTACGAAATATAACTAAGTGGTAAAAGAAAATATTGTTCACTCTAGAAGATCTGAATTTAATGATTATAAAATTATCATTAAACTTCATCATGTTATTATTAAAAGATCATTAAACTTATCAAATGTTAAAATATAATCCTTACAATTATAAAATTTATTATTATTTTATAAACATACAATAATTATTTTGTACTAATAATTTAATAAATTTAAAGATTATTTTATAATTTTTAGAAACTTAGTGAAAAAAACATAAATTAAGCATAGTCTAGTGATACTTTATCCAGCAAGGAAAAGGAAACTTGTGTGTTAAAAAAACCTTTTGCCCTCCAATTTTCACTTTCATTTTCAGCACCGAAACAATTGCAGGCCCCATGCACCGGCAAATATCTTCTTATCATCTGCCCCCCACCTCTCCTTCATAAACACTGACATTCCCTTTTTATGTCGTCCACAAACAAAAAATACTGTGTAAAATTTTCCAAATTTCATATCTGTTCTGTTCGAATGGCAGGAGAAGTGTATCTGGTTCCGGCGGCGGAGACGCAAGTGGCTTCGGTGAAGAAGAAAATGGCGGTCACAACTAGCTGGGTTTCGATAGATGCAAAGGGTGAAGCCGCGGTTCTTGACGTCGACAAGTATGCTATAATGCGCCGTGTTCAGGTTCATGCTAGAGATCTTCGTATTCTTGATCCAATGTTATCCTATCCTTCCACTATTCTGGGCAGAGAAAAGGTCATTGTTCTCAATTTAGAGGTAATTTTGATTTTGTTTTTTTATCTCTTTCAAAATTGTTTTAATTAGATGTTTACCGAAACTGATTTTACTGATTGCAGCACATTAAAGCTATAATAACAGCAGACGAGGTTAGTTTGTAGAATACGAATAATTTTTAATATTTTTATTTGATATGATACTAAGATCGGTTTTACTTTTGTGATGATAGGTATTGCTTAGAGATCCATTTGATGATAATGTAATACCTATTGTTGCCGAACTTAAAAGGCGATTGCCTCAAGAAAATCTCACATGTCGAGGTCAAGGGGAAGAAGAAGAAGAACACCCTGGTTTGCGCAGCGGTACAAACACTGGAGAAGAAAATGGTAATACTAACTATTGGTTGAAATCAGTTTACTGAGTGTTTATTTTTTTCATTCCATGATTTTGATACATTTCATGTAGAATTTCCATTTGAATTCCGGGCATTAGAAGTAGCACTAGAAGCAATTTGTAGTTTTCTTGATGCGCGCACTAGGGAACTGGAGACTGAGACTTACCCAGCTTTAGATGAGCTGACCTCCATGGTATTTTCACTTTTTCTCTCAGGATTTGTTCATTGCTGGCTGATTTTTCTTTCAAATATTTCATTTGAAGCTAATAGTCGATTTTGATGCAACATACAATATAGCTATAGAGGTAGAATTTTGGCTCTTAAAGTTCTGCAACCTTTGTTATATTGAATATCGATTTTCTACCTTCTTATTATTCAGTAAATGTAATCGTGTTAATGCTTTAATGCGTATTCTTTGTGAAAGTGATGAAAGGATTAAAGTCACTATTACATGAATAAATGAAACCATAGAAAATACATCAACCTGTCTCTGCAAAGTTGAAATTCTATAACGACTTTAGGTTCTAACAAGTCAAAGCATTCGTCAACTACTTATGCTTATGATTTTTCTGCAACAGAATTTGAAATTCTGCCTCTTGATTGCATGTATTGTTTAGTTAGAGTAAATGCACTATTGTTCCTTTTGTCTAACCTGCCTTGCTAATGATAATGATTACTTTCTATGGTGGTACCTAAGCAGTTTTAATTGGAGTTATGAGGCTAAGTGGGATAGAGGAAATTAAAGTTAAAAGCTATAATATGTCAGGTTCATGTATCAGTTCAAAATGAATTTGGTTATCAGTGTCAAGGTTTTCTTCCTTTGTGGTTGCTAATATGACTAGTAACGTCTGCAAGTCTAGATTGTCACGGGAACAAGCTGCACATTAAGGGGTCATAAATTGTTTTAACAGCAGAGGCATCAATGACTAATGCAATGAGATATGAACGGTATGTTTTGATTTTTTTCCCTGTAATAACCAGAATGTTGAAGAAAAGGTTTTACAAGTTACAACATACCATGAAGCATTGCGATTCAGTTGTTTCGCCTTAATGCTATTGAATGAATAGAAGAGTTTCATATTTCAATGTCACTGGTTTCTAGGTTTGCTTGTAAGATAAGTTCAATTACATGCAAGAACCGTAATTATGTGCAGATTAGCAGTCGTAACTTGGACCATGTGCGTAAACTGAAAAGTGCTATGACAAGGCTAACAAATCGGGTCCAAAAGGTATGTGACTATCTACATTTAGGTTTCTGGAAGTTAAACGTCAGTTGAATTTCAGTTTCTCCTCGTGGATGAATCGTTTCTTTTTCGTTTTTTGATTTGGCTCAATGCCTAAATATATTAAGGTGGTTAAGTTTTTCATAAACTGTCCAGTGAACTCAACATTGACAATCCTTTGGCATTAATGGCTGATAAAAAGCATAGATGAAAGGTTATCTACTTAAGACTTATTCTTTATAAGTATTATGATTTTTTAGGTCAGGGATGAACTTGAACAACTTTTAGATGATGATGATGATATGGCAGACCTTTATTTATCGAGAAAGTTGGCAGGGGCATGTTCTCCTGTAAGTGGTTCTGGTGCTCCATATTGGTATCCATCCTCACCAACTATAGGTTCAAAGATATCAAGAACAAGTCGGGGAAGTGCGGTGACCATTCAGGAGGACAACGATGTCGAGGAGCTTGAAATGTTGCTTGAGGTTATTGATGTCTTGGGTTTCATTAGTTAATACAAAACCAAATATTTATGTTTTTTACTGGATTCTGCAGGCTTACTTTACACAGATTGATAGTACATTGAACAAATTGATCACGGTATGCTCCTTACTTTTAACATTTACGCCTGCTCTAATCCCAAAGATACTCTTACATTAGTATTCTTTTTCTCACCAGCTGCGTGAATACATTGACGACACAGAAGACTATATCAATATCCAGGTGATCAGCTAAATAAATTATTATTGTAAACAAGGCTAAGATGGAAAGATTGCTGAAGGAGAGTTTTGATGGTTGATGGATATGTCTGAATGTCACATTTACTTGGCATTCTTGCTTTAAAATTGAAGCTTGGAAGTTTTCTTTAGCAGTCAAAATTCCCTGAGGCAATTTACCGCCTTCAAGTATCAGGACCTAGTATGAGATCTTGATAATTCTGAATGCTTTCTGTTGCAGCTAGACAGCCATCGAAATCAGCTTATTCAGGTGCTTTTCTAAAATTAATCTCCAAGCACTTATATGTTCAGTGACATAGTTTGGTTTCATGCGTTTTTGTTGACGGGTTTTCACTGTATGTGGCAGCTAGAGCTCTTCTTAAGTTCTGGGACTGTCTGTTTGTCTATATATTCTTTGGTTGCTGCAATCTTTGGAATGAATATTCCTTATACATGGAAGGAGGGCCATGGATACATGTTTAAATGGGTATGTCTCCTATGAACACCATAGTATATAATACCAGAAACAAACTATTACATTTTTTTCAAATTTCGCCAAGGTATTTGCTTTCTTTGTCGAGAATTTTAGTCAAGAAAATACGCTATTTGAACATAGGTGGTCATCCTCACTGGACTATTATGCACTTCGACTTTCACATTGATAATGTCCTACGCAAGACACAAGGGTCTTAATGGGTCTTGAAGTAGCATATAATAAGTTTGAGCCACTCGAACGGGATAAAGCTAGGACCATGTTCGCAGATGCATCAGAAGATCAAGTAAAACTGAAATGAATTCCTTACCGTATATATTTTAGATCATGACATTATCAGGTGAACCACTGAATGCTATAAAATTATCAATTTATCATGCTTTGTGGACAGTATGGTCCGTGGGAGGGTATAGTTGTTCCTCCTATTGGTCATTGCATTTAACAGATAAGCTTATGAAGTATCACTATGTTGCCATATATTTCAGATGTTGCTTGATACTAATTGGGTTCTTTTTTGTTTTGGGGTCAAGTGTTTTTTAATTCAGGTTTACTGGAAAAATAAGTGCTCAAATTATACCCTAAGTTAATTTTAGGTGTCTAAAGAATGTTTTACTAAAAATAGATGTCTAATGTTTTCTCATTACACTTTTAGTCCCACCACATGATCACCATTTCAAGCGCACTTGGATCTGCAGATGGAAGATGGATCTAAAGGGGAAAGATCAGATCCTTAATTATAAACCCTAAATCCCTTTCGTCACTCCATTTTGCATTAAGCCTGTAATTTATGCCATTGTCCAGATGGTTAGTAGACCACTTAATGACTGATACGATAATTAAGAAAATGATAATGAGTAAAACAAACATGATCGAAAAACAAGGAAGTCGAGGTGGGAATTAGATAACAAAGAGGCTGTGGATATCCTCAACGATCCTCCACGGTCGGATGAGGCGACCCTCGTTCGAAGAATCCAGAGTTTTATCGAACTCCAATGGAATGTCAAGATATCCCATATCCACCGGGAAGCAAACCGCGTTGCTGACGCTTTGACTCACCTAGGACAAAGTGGACAGATAGGTCTCTCAGTTATGCAGCATCCGCCTGAAGGCATACAGGTCAGAATCTCATCACCCTGGACATGTAAGGGTAAGAAGCTTATCACAACACTGTTTTCGCAGTGTTCTTCTTTGTAACCTCAAAAATTAAACATCAAAAAAGAAATATTGAAAGATAATGAAGAATAGGAATAAATCTCAAATGTAATCAATACATGAATATATTTTCATTTAAATGAATTTAGGGTAAAGTATATAAATAGTCCACAAACTTTTAGGGTGCTTGCATTTTGGTCACCCAACTTTTGAAATTTGCAATACAATCATCGAACTTTTAGTTTATTTTCAGTAAGGTCCCTGTTGTTACTTCTCGTTAGTTTTTGCTAATGTGACACTTAACTCCCGTTAACCCCCTTCTTATTTTCTTCTTTTTCTCCTTCTTCTTAACCAACGACGGACGGAGGAGGGACGACGGCGAGGAGGCACGACCGATTGGGTTCTGGTCAGAACGGTGTGGGGACTCCAATGGTGGTGGCGATGCAACGAACGAACAACCCAATAGGCCAAAAATTGATTAAAATAGAAAAGGAGCGTTGGGGTTTTTCGACGAGATTCTGTGCCCTCTCCACGACAAACGGAGGCGGGTATCAGTGAGTGGTTGAGGGGTTTTCGTTGAAATGGGGTTGCGCTCCTATTGGTACTGACTGTGACGGTCACCGACGACTGACGATGGAGATCGAGGATGGGTGTTTGAACAGTATTTTCGCGATTTGGGAAGAACGGTGGATGATGAGTATGAATCGAAAGTCGAGGTATGGTCGGGAGGCGACACCGGTGACAATGGTGTTGGTGGTGCGAGCCACCGCTGACTGGAGGCGGGATGACTGAAGTTGAGAGAAGAAGAAGAAGAATGAGAAGAAGGGGGTTAACGGGAGTTAAGTGCCACGTCAACTAAACCTAACGGGAGGTAACGACAGGGACCTTATTGAAAACAAACTAAAAGTTTGATGACCGTATTGTAAGTTTCAAAACTTGGGTGACTAAAATGTAAGTTCCATAAAAGTTCAAGGAATATTTATATACTTTACCCATGAATTTAATTGTTTAAATATATATACCAATAAATATAAAATTACGATACATTAGTAATTAATTTATTAAAATTGAATCAAATCATTTTTATAAGTATCATTATATAGAAATCAAAATTTATATACTACATTATATTGAACGGAGTAGTATTGGTACAACATCTGCTCAAATCAAATCAAAACAAATATCCCTGTAACACCCCAAACTATGGGTTAGTGACTAAATGGTAAACTTTCAGAATTTGGTGATTAAAGTAGAAGAATGGATTAGTTCAATGATTTATCTGGAAATAAATCCTAAAAGTTGTTAGTAATTATCAAATGAAGTAGAGGACAAAATGGTCATTTGACTAATAAATGAATTAAAAATAGATATGATAAGGATATATATGTTAGAGGGGATAAGGATGAAGAGATATTCTCTTCATCATCTTCTTCTTCTTCTTCTTCATGTACGAGAGAAAGAAAGAGCCAAGCTTGCAAAGGTAAGATTCCTTGTTAGCTTATTATTTGTTAATTTTAAGAGTGGGTTTTGATCATTAGATAATACTTAAGCTTATGGAAAGCTTAAGTTGTCCTAAAATCAAAAGATAAATAAGTTATGAAAGATTAAAGAAAATGAGTTTCTAAAGGAAATTCTGGAAAAGAGTTAGTAAGTGAATTTTGAGAAGGAATTTGACTTGTCATCAATCTAATTAAGAAATATGGAGTGTTAGAATTAGATTTAAAACATGTTAAAAATCTGGTATGATTCTTGAAGTTAATAAAGAGGAGAGGATATTAAGGTTAAAGAAGAGATAATTGATTATAAACGAGTTTAAACATGTATATGAAAGTTAGGAATATGAAAGGGGATGAAATATGAAGCATTTGAGTGAAGAGTTGATGATTTTCGGGTTCAAAAAGAGGTTCTGGGCAAAGTGCATCGAAGCACATTCATAGTGCATCGATGCATCAAGGTTAAAACCCAGAAATTTGTTTGAAGGTGTATCGATGCACAGGTAGTGCATCGATGCACTCTTTTAAAATAGAAACATCGAATGCAATTAGTGCATCGATGCATAAGGCATGCATCGATGCATCCCAGTGATAATACAACATCGAATGCATTTTATGCACCGATGCATCAGTAGTGCATCGATGCATACTTTCATTGAAAGATGAAATTGGCATTTTTCTTAGTCTAAGGAGTGAACCATTAGAGTATATTAGTTATAATACTGATATAGATCTATGAATGATTATGTAGATATAGAACGTGATCCCATTTAGAAACAACTGAATGATTAGAATCGAATCAAAGCAAAGCTAAGGTGAGTGCAATTTAATTGTACTTATGTTATCGAATAAACATTGGCTTGTGATGAGCCAGTGATGGAGTTACTATGGTAAGAAGTGACTCCTAAAATGTTATTTGATTTGTGAATGATATGATGCTTATATGTGTATGAGTACATGATTACATGTATATGTGATATGTGATATTGAACTATATGAAATTATAATATATGAGAATACATGCCTATGTGACAAGCTATGTGAAAGTGGATTACATGTTTATGTGAATATGTGATACGATATGAGATTCATAAATATATGTTTATGAGATATATGTTTACACATACATAGGGTATGTGACAGAAGAGAAGGAACATGAGATTATAAGATCAATGATTACACGTATATGTGATACGTGACAGAAAAGAAGAGATATGTGTTTATAAGAGAAATGATATGATATAAGTTATGTGATTACATGTATGTATTAATACATCTTGCTTGCATTACATGTTAGTGTGATTGTGAATAGGTAGGAAGGAAACAAATGATGATATAAGAATCTATTATAAGATATATGATATGAAATACATGGTTACACATACATGTGGTATGTGACAGAAGAGAAAGAACAAGTGATGAGAAATGTATTCATAATGATAATGCCCATGTTATGAGTTATGAGAACTGTAGGTATAGTTGGCATGCTAAGATTCAAAGAACTACCTATATCTTTCGAGACATATGGACAATATACCTATGTTCTAAGGAACATATGGATAGTTTACCTAGGTTCTTCGGGACCCATGGACAGTTACCGAGGATCTTTATGACCTCTGGATAGTTACCGAGGATCTTTATGACCTCTGGATAGTTACCGATGATCTTTATGACATCTGGATAGGTCCTTCGGGACATTGATCGAGCTGTGGTGACAGCATATGTGTGCACAACCTCAATGTACTCACATACCTTAAGTTCTCACTAGTGTACATGAGCTAATAAAGAGATTAAACAAACATACTGAATGTGATATGTATACGATGGGTTTATAAGTGGTTTGAAATGTGTTTCATGAACCACATGATGTTATGTGTGTTTCTTAATGATAATGATAGATATTATGATAATGATGGTATATGTTTATGTATGCTTTATGTTATATGAAATATTATATGTTTTATATGCCTCACTAAGTCATCGACTTAGCGTGTGATTGTTTCACACGTAGGTTTGGAAAGCGAAAAGAGAAGTAAAGAGGAACAAGACATGTCAGTTCTCCTTACCGAATGTCAGATCAGAAGAGAAGTGAATAATATGTATTTTTATATATAAAGTTTTAGTTGGCATGTAATCAAAAGAATATATTGTATAAGCTCTGAATAGTTTTGTAAATGTTTTGAATAAGTTAACTGTTATAAAAGTTTTTAAATTACTCACTATTTTATACGAATAAATGTTTGAAAAGTCAATGTGACACTTCAGACTCGTATCCGGGTCGGATACGGGTTGAGGTGTTACATTTAATGGTATCAGAGCTACGGTTTAGCCGATTCTAGGCTAAAAACGAAGTCAAAATTATTTTAAAAAGTATACATTCCGACATAAAGTAGAAAATTTTCTGATCTGATAGGGTAAGAGTGTACTGTCTTGTTAATAGAGTTAAATTATTATGTTAAATAAGATATGTGAATACCAGAGAATGATTTATGAAATTTATATATATGTTTATATGATATGATGGATGATATGTGAACATATGCAATTGACATATGTTATACAATATGAATTGGATGACCATATGCACACGTGATATGTGATAGAAGAAATGATATGAGCACATGAAAATATGAGAGTTTCCAAAGTGAAACACAAGGCTATAGACCTGAAGGTAATAGCATTCACCTGCCCTGGCCAGGCAGGGAGAAGAGTGAAAACCTCAGGGAATGCCTGTATAAGATTAGAGAATGATTCATGATGTTGAATGATATTTCGATGTGTTTACAATGTTATATTTTGTTAACTCATAGAATGAATGTATTGAGATAGTTAAAAGATTTAGGAGCACCTAAGTTCAAAGGTGAATTTGAGGAATGTTCTGTTGTTACAGACATTTGGTTAAAGGATATGAAGAAAATGTTAAACGGTTTTCATTTCTCCAAAGTGGAGAAGTTAAATTGAGTAGTTTCATTACTACGCGGGTAAACTAGAGTATGGTGCATAATGTCACCATAAGAACGTTAAAAGATCAAGTGACGCGGTTATTGTTTGTAAAAGAGTTTAAGAATAAGTGCATCAGTGATACGTTTATAAGATGAATGAAATCAGAATTATGAATTCGAAACCAAGGGATAGTACTGTGTATAAACAAGAGTGTGGATATGATAAGAGTTTGTATTCTAGATGGAAAGAGTTAGCATTGGCTAACAAGAGTATGTGATGAAAATGTAATGGAATTATAATATATTGACAGGTTATGATAACCAAATATGAAGAGGATTTGGATACAGTTGTATAGTTTGATCATAGTAAGGTGTTGTGGTGAAGAAGATAAAGATTTGTATGTTTGAAGGAAATACAAGTACAATAGATGATAAGAATGAGGTTCTGTACAAGTAAAGTTGATTATCAAAGTTATGAAAAGATATAGTTTAGTTATGTTATAAGAAGATTTTGATAATGAAAGGATTAAATATGATAAAGGATTATAAGGATGTGCAGATTATAAGTTTGATTAGAAGTAAGAAAAGTATGTAAGGTTATATGAAGAAATTATGTGTATCGTTATATAGACAGTGATGAAAGAATGAGTAAAAGTTTGGATTGTGGCGAATTAATTAGAAAATGAGGAAAGGAATCAATTGGTTGATTTTTTGATTTGAGTGATATGAATTGATGTTAATGTCTACAGGATGAGTAACATTATGTGGATTTTAGAAAGGTCAAAGGAAAAATGCATAATCGAATGAGAAAAAAAAACAGAAATGGATTGATGTTATTGGTTATTGTTTATATGATAAGCAACAAAAGATGAACGTATAAACGAAAAAGATAGTTGGAAACTAAAGGATTGAAAAGTAAGTTTCTGATGATGACAAGAAAGAATAAGTCAAGGAAGCAACATAAGAACATTAGAAGATATGTTCTTATTATGATGTGCAGTGAAAATTCGAGGACGAATTTTCTTATAATGAGGGGAGAGTCGTAACACCCCAAACTATGGGTTAGTGACTAAATGGTAAACTTTCAGAATTTGGTGATTAAAGTAGAAGAATGGATTAGTTCAATGATTTATCTGGAAATAAATCCTAAAAGTTGTTAGTAATTATCAAATGAAGTAGAGGACAAAATGGTCATTTGACTAATAAATGAATTAAAAATAGATATGATAAGGATATATATGTTAGAGGGGATAAGGATGAAGAGATATTCTCTTCATCTTCTTTTTCTTCTTCATGTACGAGAGAAAGAAAGAGCCAAGCTTGCAAAAGTAAGATTCCTTGTTAGCTGATTATTTGTTAATTTTAAGAGTGGGTTTTGATCATTAGGTAATACTTAAGCTTATGGAAAGCTTAAGTTGTCCTAAAATCAAAAGATAAAGAAGTTATGAAAGATTAAAGAAAATGAGTTTCTAAAGGAAATTCTGGAAAAGAGTTAGTAAGTGGATTTTGAGAAGGAATTTGACTTGTCATCAATCTAATTAACAAATATGGAGTGTTAGAATTAGATTTAAAACATGTTAAAAATCTGGTATGATTCTTGAAGTTAATAAAGAGGAGAGGATATTAAGGTTAAAGAAGAGATAATTGATTATAAACGAGTTTAAACATATATATGAAAGTTAGGAATATGAAAGGAGATGAAATATGAAGCATTTGAGTGAAGAGTTGATGATTTTCAGGTTCAAAAAGAGGTTCTGGGCAGAGTGCATCGATGCACATTCATAGTGCATCGATGCATCAAGGTTAAAACCCAGAATTTTGTTTGAAGGTGTATCGATGCATAGGTAGTGCATCGATGCACTCTTTTAAAATAGAAATATCGAATGCAATTAGTGCATCGATGCATAAGGCATGCATCAATGCATCCCAGTGATAATACAACATCGAATGCATTTTATGCACCGATGCATCAGTAGTGCATCGATGCATACTTTCATTGAAAGATGAAATTGGCATTTTTCTTAGTCTAAGGAGTGAACCATTAGAGTATATTAGTTATAATACTGATATAGATCTATGAATGATTATGTAGATATAGAACGTGATCCCATTTAGAAACAATTGAAGGATTAGAATCGAATCAAAGCAAAGCTAAGGTGAGTGCAATTTAATTGTACTTATGTTATCGAATAAACATTGGCTTGTGATGAGCCAGTGATGGAGTTACTATGGTAAGAAGTGACTCCTAAAATGTTATTTGATTTGTGAATGATATGATGCTTATGTGTGTATGAGTACATGATTACATGTATATGTGATATTGAACTATATGAAATTATAATATAAGAGAATACATGCCTATGTGACAAGCTATGTGAAAGTGGATTACATGTTTATGTGAATATGTGATACGATATGAGATTCATAAATATATGTTTATGAGATATATGTTTACACATACATAGGGTATGTGAAAGAAGAGAAGGAACATGAGATTATAATATCAATGATTACACGTATATGTGATACGTGACAGAAAAGAAGAGATATGTGTTTATAAGAGAAATGATATGATATAAGTTATGTGATTACATGTATGTATTAATACATCTTGCTTGCATTACATGTTAGTGTGATTGTGAATAGGTAGGAAGGAAACAAATAATGATATAATAATCTATTATAAAATATATGATATGAAATACATAGTTACACATACATGTGGTATGTGACAGAAGAGAAAGAACAAGTGATGAGAAATGTATTCATAATGATAATGCCCATGTTATGAGTTATGAGAACTGTAGGTATAGTTGGCATGTCAAGAGTCAAAGAACTACCTATGTCTTTCGAGACATATGGACAGTATACCTATGTTCTAAGGAATATATGGATAGTTTACCTAGGTTCTTCGGGACCTATGGACAGTTACCGAGGATCTTTATGACCTCTGGATAGTTACCGAGGATCTTTATGACCTCTGGATAGTTACCGAGGATCTTTATGACCTCTGGATAGTTACCGAGGATCTTTATGACCTCTGGATAGGTCCTTCGGGACATTGATCGAGCTGTGGTGACAGCATATGTGTGCACAACATCAATGTACTCACATACCTTAAGTTCTCACTAATGTACATGGGCTAATAAAGAGATTAAACAAACATACTGAATGTGATATGTATACGATGGGTTTATAAGTGGTTTGAAATGTGTTACATGAACCATATGATGTTATGTGTGTTTCTTAATGATAATGATAGATATTATGATAATGATGGTATATGTTTATGTATGCTTTATGTTATATGAAATATTATATGTTTTATATGCCTCACTAAGTCATCGACTTAGCATGTGATTGTTTCACACGTAGGTTTGGAAAGTGAAAAGAGAAGTAAAGAGGAACAAGACCGGTCAGTTCTCCTTACCGAATGTCAGATCAGAAGAGAGGTGAATAATATGTATTTTTGTATATAAAGTTTTAGTTGGCATGTAATCAAAAGAATATATTGTATAAGCTCTGAATAGTTTTGTAGATGTTTTGAATAAGTTAAATGTTATAAAAGTTTTTAAATTACTCACCATTTTATATACGAATAAATGTTTGAAAAGTCAATGTGACACTTCGGACTCGTATCCAGGTCGGATACGGGTTGGGGTGTTACAATCCCCATATGTGCACGTTGGAGTCCTAAACCAGTTTCCATGAGAGAGATCAGCTCATTGAAGCATCTTCTGTTCAGGTAGCCACTTCTCCATTTGCAGCTCCATCAAAATTATCTAACCTATTGATATGATCCATACCTCTTTATGCATCTGCCTTAATAGCTGTTAAAATAAGTAGAATTTTACATGTATTTCTTGGCAGGTTGACATCAAATGTATGGGACAGCATATAGTTCCCACATCGCAGTGCATATGGTACGTGTAGTTCATCAAAATCGTTTACAGTAACTGCCAAACCAACAATCAAGCCTTTCTGAAAGAGAAATTTGATGAGGACAAGAAAAAAAGGGAAAAAAGAAGAGAAAAATGGCAACATTACACCAACCAAAAGCCTATAAGTTGGTTTAGCATCAGCAAAAATCTCAATTAAGACAAAATTTAATGATTTGTCAGGGACTAAACCCAAAATCTAAGTGATGAAAAAATAATGATGGGAATTCATATAAATATAATTACAATCATAATCTGAAAAATATAAATGTAAATGTAAATATAAATATAAATATAAGATGATAAGATGAAAACTAAATCTATATATAACTAGAAAAAATCTATTGTATTTGTGGTTCAATAATTTGGACATGAACTCACACAAAACTGGCCCTTAGATTGCTCATTAACAAGCATCAATATTGTCCTTACAGGGATCCCTGTTTCAAGGCATTCAAACTTCACTACATTCATCAAAAATATCATTTGACTTCCGAATTTTGTTAATTTAAGGCAAGGGTAAAGACATGAATCCAAACTCTAAAAAAACCCAGAAAGAGGAAGAAAATTATGATCAAACTAAGCTTAACAAAATTACCATTTCTGAAGACTTGAAAACCTATTCTTTTTTCAAAGCATTACATACAGAATTTAAAGAAAACGATGAAGAAAAAAATGAATACTAAAAGTAATGAATGTAGATTTGGATTTAAACGCGGGTGTATCCAGCTCCGGTGGGGCTGCCTACAACATAACACAGTCCACCCTCGGAACCGTCAAGTTCGTCGTAGTACAAATCCTCCGTTCCCCTAAACGCTGCGTGTAGTCCCACGATAAAAGCCCCAATCAAAACGGAAACCAACACGTTCAACCAAACGTCGGTCAGAACTAGGGCTACAATAGTAATCACGGCGAGGATCGCCAGCACGATGCGGTCGTCGGTCTGACGGTTTAGGATGACCAATGGATTGTCGCGGAAGAAGTAAAGGAAGAACCAGGCGACAAAGACGACCAAGAAGACGATCATGGAAATCGGGTGCCACAGGAGGCTGAGGAAGAGGATTACCAGGATTATCATGGCGTAGTTCACTCGGAAATAGCTGAGGTTCCGCTTCATACGGGCAGTGGCATCGCCGAAGGAAATGGGCCGCGCGAAGGATGACAGGGAAAGGAATTCCCGCCATGGGCGGCGCGTGAAGGTTGTGAGAGCAGCGCGCGTGAAAAACGCGGTCGTCGGAGGGGATTGCGAGGTCATCGTTGGAGCTAAAGAATCTCTAATTGGAGAGAAACACAGGAGAGAGGCACTGAGTATAATTTCAGCTGATTTTCGACTTTCATGTTTTCAGAATCGGACTGGTTAACGAATCGGTCATATTATCGATTTATTGGTTTAATCGGTCGAATCAATCCGATCGGTCGAATCAATCCGATCGGTCGAAAGAATCGGACGACTTTATAATTATTTAAAAATTAAATAAAAATATCAAAAATATTTAATAAAAAATAATTTTTTATATCACAAGTCATATTCAAAGCAAGTCATAACATATATAAATTAAAAACCATAAAATCAAGTGAAACAAAATAATTCAAATTAACTACAACATAATATTTAAGGTAAAATATATTAAATAATAAATATAATTATATAACTATAATTAAAAAATAAATTTGGGGCTAAAAAAATCATAACAAAATGATATTGTTTGGTTTATTTTTTTTTAAAACAATTCCACATGGTTAAGAAACATAGAAGAGCATCCCAAAAGTCTAAAGAGTAAAAATATGATAACAAAACAATCTTACATTGCTAGGAAACATAGAACAACATCACAACTAACTTCTATAAATAATAGAGGTAATTTGACATTCAAAATCATGAAGCCTTTTGGTGAGCATTGAGTGAACTATTCTTTCAGTTCAACCAAGCTCGAATTTAGGCTTCAATTGAGCTTCTAATTTTTTTTTAGTTTAAGCCTTTTTGGGTTCAAGTTTCAATATTATATTTTGAGTTTGAGTTGAACTTGATAATTTTTAACTTGTGAGTTTGAGTGGAGTTGAGTTTACTTTTAAAGTTTTCAAGTTCGAGTCGAGCTCAGCAATACTCGAGTTCGACTTGGCTCGTTTAACAAACGACGTTTGGTTTAATTTTTTTTTTAAAAAAAGAAAATTTCTGGTTTTTTCCGGTTTTTTTGGGTCCGGTTCGAATGGTTCAGCGGTTCTGACCGGTTCACTAATAGCGGTTCAACCGGTTTAGATTAAGCCGGACTAGACAACGATTCCTGATTGAACCGATTGAATCGACCGGTCCGATCATATTTTCAAAACAGAGCTTTCATAAAGCGATAGATATTTGAGGGGAGAGAGACTACTTTGACCTTTTCCATTTGTTGTATTTTTCTAAGGGTAAAGTATATAAATGGTCATTGACTTTTCATGAACTTGCATTTAGGTTCCTAAACTTTTAAAACTTGTAATACAGTCATCAAACATTTAGTTCGTTTGCAATGTGATTCCCGAGGTAACTGTCCGTTTCATTGCTGTTAGAAGAAAATGACGTGGCATTTGAGGAAAGCGTTTGCAACTGAATAAAACCTCAATTAAATCAGACTAAAAATAGCAAACCCGATTTTATTTCCCCAAATTGAAAACTTAAACCCTAAAAAACAAAATTCCCATTATTCTCTTTGTTTGGTCAACAATTGCAAGCAATGGATACACCACCAAATGCAATCCCAACTTGCTTTTGTGGAATGTTAGCTATTTTACGCACAACTTTGACGAATAAGAATGCTGGAAGGAGATTCTTCGGATGCGCTAATTATGGGCATTTTAGGAGAAATTGTAATTTCTTTGTTTGGTATGATCCCCCATTGAATCCACATTCACGTACTGTTATCGTTGGTTTGCTAAGGAATATGAGAACCATGGAGAGAGGAAAAAGGCTTGAGCGAGGGATTTGGGCGGGTTGTTTGAGGATTTTGTTGTTGTTGATTATGTTGGGTTAATTGGCAGGGAAATTTAGTATTTAGGGTTATGTTTTAAGGGTTTAGGATTGATGCTTCAAGTTCAGTTTGATATGTTAGATTTTGAGAATGGATTATGAATTTGGGGTTGAGCATGTAATTGAAGTATTTTGGAATTTGAGGTTTAGAATATAATTGAAGTATTTTGGAATTTAGGGTTTAGAATATAATTGATGATTGTGTTGCAAGTTTTAAAAGTTAGGGGACCTAAATGCAAGAGCCTAAAAAAGTTCAGTGACCATTTATATGCTTTACCCTAATTTTTATAGCTGCAAACAATTTCTTCACGTGCCATGTCATCTTCTTCTAATGGAAGTGAAACAACCAGTTACGTCGGGGACTACATTGCAAACGAATTAAATGTTTGATGATTGTGTTGTAAGTTTTAAAAGTTGGGGGACCTATATGCAAGATCTTGAAAAATTCAGTTACCATTTATATACTTTACTCTTTTTCTAATTATTTTTCATTTGAATGGGATCTTCTAAAACGGTACCGTCTCACTTGGAATCTCACATGTCAATCTGTCTATTGTTTACTGTTAAAAAAACTAAAAATGTGATGGCAAATTGGCAATTCAATTAGTATTAAATTATAAGAATATGACATTTTTACGAAAACTTTAATGCCTAAAAAGTATACATTTATTGACAGTTTGTGTATAAAAAAATTATAAAAATAGAATGATCTAATTTGTAACTAATCAGATTAATTTTTGTTAAATGTATAATGGATGAATGATTTGATTATTACATTTGAAAAAAATAGAGTGATTTGATTATAATAAAAAAATTAATATAGCACAAATAAAGTAATTTTAGTGGTTAAATTTTTTTGAGGTTTTGAGTTTGATCACTGCGTTTGCAAAGGTATGAGTGTTTATTGTCAAAACATTGAGAGTCTTTTTTTATTTGCATAGTATTTTATTTAAGGATGAATATTTTTATTTGAACCCAACATATTCCGACTTGATCAAGTCTTAAATGGTCATTTAACAAAAAAAATGAATTTGGATCGGGAAAGGTTTAAGTGAAAAATACTCGACTTGATCTAACTCCAGATAATAATATAATTATCTTTAAATATTTAGTGATGACTGCAAAATACTTCTATGTATATTTTTTACCTAATGAAAATAATTTTTTTATTTAGGGAGGGATGAATATATATATATATATATCAATTAGGCTCATATTTTACGTGATGAAAAAGAATTTTTTTAAATAATTATTATTGAGTTAGGTCAAATGTGAGTTTTATCTAAAAAATTGGATCGAATTTCAGATCAAATAGAATCTTCCTAAATTCGGGCCAGATTGGATGATAGTGGAGGAATATAATACTCAGGTTGAATTCGAGTGGGTGAAAAACCCAACCACCCAACTCATTTCCATTCGTAATTCTACCATTATAATTAGTAAATTGAGTGACTTGTTTTTGATTTTGTAAAATATGATGATTAGTTTATAATTTCACTAATAATGATTGATAATTTAGGTACATATATGAGCTTTTAAACGTCAGGATCTTACAAAAAACGGCATAGCCGAAGCAACCAGAGTAACAACAACAATGTAGATGGAAGTGAACGTTAGTCGGAGAAGGCGATTTCCGAACACGGAAGCCGAACTGTTTGTCGTGCGGGACAACAATCTTTCCTCGAAATAGGCATAGGTCGGCCTGCAGTAGATCTAACCAGAGGAATTGGTTTAACAATTTGTTTTTTTGTTTAGAAACTTGTTCTGGAAAGGCTATACCTGGTGGCATCCGGATATTTGAATCACAGCAAAGATATTGGCCATGACAAATGTCCATTTGGGGACAGTTAATGAAGCCACGATATAAGGCTGGACTTGTGATCCAAATGCCCAGTATCCAATGCAAGCAATCTGCCAGTACGTTGACACTATGACACTGTATGCCGCGGATACACCTTTGTACATATTTTTGACTGCAGGTTCCCTCACTGTATTCTGGGGGGAAATAATGGTATCAGTTCGCTCATTAAGCTCGGAATGAATCGAAAGTTATATTTAAACCTGTATTTCGGGAAGCATTGCATCTCCAAATGAAAAGGAAATTGCACCAAGAGCGTTGAATGCTGCAAATCTCTTTGCAGATGAGCTTCCCTGCAAGCTATAACTGATTGACTCCCTATATATACTTTTACCTACAAAATTGTCGAAATTTAGCACTTGGTCCTAGAGGTGATATTGAAGATCACATCTAAGAACAAGAATCGAGTCCCGAGCCTACCGTTATAGATTGTGACACCAATGGTTGAACCAGCAAAGCCGATTGTGCTGAAAGTGCATAACCCATTGACCCATCTTAAAGAGTGGATATCAGGCAGCTGAGACAGGAAAAGTTCAAAACCCCCAAAGAAAATAATAAAATGCTGCAAGGTGAGTGAGTCATGCTTATGATAGTGCTTGTAAACAGCCTGCAAAAGATAGAATGGAACACATATGTAATATGTTATTGCCTCATTGGTATTGGTTCCTAAAGGAAAATTATGGCCAAATTTACTAGCCTTGAGGCTGCTGCCGGCGGCGATTTGAATGGCGATATTGTTTCCGATCGAAGCCACTTGCTGAAAAAATGCAATAGAATAGTAACCCCAGAAACCTTCAAGATCCAGAAATAAGAAAATGGTCAAGCAAATAGTACAACAGTGACAGTAGGGAAACTATGTAACTGACCAAAGATACTGTCTGCGAGAAGCCGCTAAGTGACGTGCTTATTTCCGTTCCATCTCCACAAAGAGGTAATTAGCAAGGTAGAATACCAAGTGGCCATTGTTGCAGCCACCAAGCTACTTACACCTTGAAACCAATCAATCAGGCAGCAAATATATAATCAATAAGGGAACATATGTAAAGGATTTGAGAAGATGAAACTACTTACCGAGAGGCCAACCGAGAGAAGCGAGGGCGAAAGGAAGAGGAGCATAAGCGGCAGGGGTAGCAATGGTTGTGGAAACATGAAAGGCTGCGTGTTTCCAGCTCCTTTTCCGGAAACTTCATGCTCGTGATCCTTTGAATCTTCGTCTTCTACATGAACATCAAATTTGGACTCCATTGTAGTCCTATTTCCAGATATCGGTGGAAGTTCAACCTGATGTGAACTCATATCAGATTTGTTCCTTCAGCTGCTACTGAGTTGGAATAGTTTAGGGCTAAAGCAAGAAGAAAACCCATACAACTCAATTCAGAGATTCCATTTAATACCAAAGAAAAAAGATGAATGGGCCATGGGTAGCTAATTTTTCTTCATTTTGACAATTCGCGCTTGATTCATTTGACATGGT